ATATCTATAACTATACTATTTATTTTACGCCCTGTGCCATATATAGTATATCTGATCAGAATATGGAAGCCTCTGAAAATACGGTGGACTTCCAAAATATGATTAACGAGGCAATAGCAGCCTCCATGGAGAAAGCCCTCTCCAAAATGATGGCCTCTAATACTGAAAAGAGGATACCATCTAAAACCCACCAATCCCGACATAATTCAGATTCTGAGGATTCGGAACCGCATAAGAGCCAAGAACCCCCCACTGGCAAACGTCACTGGAAAAGGGAAAAGGGTCAACAGAACCCGGCTAAGGATAAAACACCGGCTAAAAGACGTAAGCCCTCTACGGTCGCTACTCCGACTCCGCTGCTTAACTACGCACAATCCAAATCCTTGGCCATTTTAGATGAGTGGCAAGCTGACAAGTCAGACGGGCAAGAAGACCCTTGGGGTACCGATTCTGAGTCTCAACCCGAACTATTACCACACACTCTACTGGGAGACTGCCAAGTACATGACGCTACGGACAACCTGCAGGAAGACGAGGACGCTATCTTCGACCCATCAGGTCAGAGATTGTTCGATCAGGGGACTGGACACCCCCAGACCACCTGGTAAAATGTATGCATCTCTGGCTCAGAAAATCCATGGATAAGACAGTTCACAACAGACTACGCTACGAGTGTTCAAGGCCCTCTCTACCAGACCACGTAGCAGAGACACCAGAGTTACGACCAACCGATCCCAGTAACTAAGTCAGAGACGAACTCGGCTGGTGGCTAGACAGCATGGAAGCATGGAACGGTCGGGCCATCTTTGGGAGCACGCCCGACATAGTCCTGGAATCGGACGCCAGCCTCTGGGGATGGGGTGCCACAAGCAACGGTACATCAACAGGCGGTACCTGGAATTCCCGGGACCTCAACATGCATATAAACTGCCAGGAACTCCTGGCGGGATCCTTTGCCATCCGCAGCCTCGCAAAAAGAAAAGACGGACTGCTGCATCCTTTTATAGATGGACAACATCTCGGCGGTCCGCTACATCAACTGCCTGGGCGGGGCAAGATCACGCATCCTGTCAGAAATAACAAAGGAGATTTTCGACTTCTGCTTACCCCGCAACATCTCCCTCAAAGCGGAATATCTCCGGGGGAAACGAACCTCACGGCGGACTGGTTTTCTCGCCACTGGAGGGACAACAGCGATTGGAAACTAAATCCCCAAATCTTCCAAAGTCTACAACAACATCAAGGTCCATTTCACCTAGATCTCTTCGCGTCTCGCAACAACAGGCAAACACAGACATATTTCAGTTGGCTCCCGGACCCAGAGAGCGAAGCAATGGATGCATTCCTTCAACCATGGGGGATTCCATTATAAGAGGTGTGGAGATGGACAATGGTGGTCTTGTCAGGTGTCTTCCCGGGGCTACTGCTCACAGAGACAGGAGACGTATCTGTAATATTGTTAAGCAAGCAAAGAAGGAAGGGGAATTGGATGTACTTGTCCATCTAGGGACAAATGACTTGGCTTGCAATGAGGTTTCAGAGGTTAAGGAAGTTTTTAGTGTTTTTGCCAATGATATACGGCAGGTTGCTTCCACACTGTCATTCTCTGAAGTTCTGCCTGTGCATAACACTCAGAACGACAGGCGGATGCGTATTAGGGACTTTAATTTGTGGCTTGGTGAATGGTGTCGGGAGCAAGGATTTGGCTTTATTTCTCATGGTAGCTCTGTTTGGAATGGAGATAAGCTGTACAAAAAAGATGGTTTGCATCTTTCTCAAAAGGGAACAAATGTTCTCAGTGAGCAGTTCAGAGGTTTTGCTAGGATGTATTAAAACTAGGGGGGGGGGGCAAAAGGGTGATAAAACATCAATCCAATTGTCCCCCAAAACAAGGACAGAAGGTGCCTGTAGCAAGTGTGTTAAAAAATGATAAGCTTAGAGTCATGTCTACAAATGCTTGCAGTTTAGGGAACAAGATCCATGAACTTGTGGCAATAATGGCAACTGATAGTGTAGATTTAGTCGCTGTTACTGAGACATGGTACAATGAGAAAAATGACTGGGACATAGCAATACCAGGGTACTCTTTATATAGGAAAGATAGGGAAGGCAAGAAAGGGGGAGGGGTGGCCTTGTATGTGAAGGATAGCATAAAATCTAGCCTAATAAAAGTTAGTGAGGCAAACATAGAGTCCGTTTGGGCTACGTTAGAATTTGGTAATCACACAGTAACTCGTGTAGGTGTGATTTATAGGCCCCCAGGACAAATTGAAGAGTTAGATAATCTACTAGTTGAGGAAATAGCTAAAATGACAATGAAGGGGGAAGTTATCATCATGGGTGACTTTAATCTTCCTGATGTAAATTGGAAAACAAAATTAGCTACTTGTGCCAGGAGCACACATATTCTAAACTCCCTACTGGGATTGTCTCTAAAACAAGTTGTTGAGGAGCCAACTCGTAAAGAGGCCATACTAGATTCAGTGTTAACAAATGGAGATTTGGTATCAGATATTACTGTAGGTGAAAGTTTAGGATCCAGTGATCATCAGTCAGTGTGGTTTAATATAAGAACAGTGACTGAGTCACACCACGCAAAAACTTTTTAGACTTTTTGGTTTTAGACTTTAGGAAAACAGACTTTTCTAAAATTAGAATATGGGTAGAGGAGTCATTATCAGACTGGAGCAATTTAAATGGAGTCCAAGAGAAATGGGATTATTTAAAAGTTGCACTATTGAAGGCAACAGAAAATTGCATTAGGCTTGTCAGTAAAAGCAAAAAATTCAAGAAACCACTGTGGTACTCCGCAGATGTGGCCAAAATAGTTAAAAACAAAAAGTTAGCATTTAGGAATTATAAAAAAACCCAGAGTGAGGAAGACAAAATGATCTATAAGATTAGGCAGAAAGAGGCTAAGCAAGTTATAAGAGCTTCCAAATCACACACAGAAGAGAAAATAGCACAGTCAGTAAAAAAGGGGGATAAAACATTTTTTAGATACATAAATGAGAAAAGAAAAGTAAAACAAGGATTAGTTAGATTAAAAACAAAAGAAGGAAGGTATGTAGAAGAGGATAAAGGTCTAGCTGACTGCCTCAATGAATATTTTTGTTCTGTATTTACAGATGAAAATGAAGGAAAGGGACCTCAGTTGAGAAAAAGGATAAATTAGTCATTTATTACACGTGAGTTTACAGAGAAGAGGTTCTATTTCAACTGTCAAAAGTAAAGACAAATAAGTCAATGGGACCTGATGGAATACACCCAAAGCTATTAAAAGAGCTTAGTGGTGTACTAGCAAAACCATTAACAGATTTATTTAACCAATCATTGTTAACAGGAGTAGTCCCAGAAGATTGGAAGTTAGCAAATGTTGTGCCCATTTACAAGAAAGGTAATAGGGAGGAGTCGGGCAACTATAGGCCAGTAAGCCTTACTTCAGTAGTGGGGAAAGTGATGGAAACCATGTTAAAGGATAGGATTGATGAACATCTAAAAACACATGGATTTCAAGATCAGAGACAACATGGGTTTACTTCAGGGAGATCATGCCAAACTAATCTTATTGATTTTTTGATTGGGTAACTAAAATTATAGATCAGGGTGGTGCAGTAGACATTGCTTACCTAGATTTCAGTAAGGCTTTTGACACTGTTGCACATAGAAGGCTTATCAATAAACTGAAATCTTTAAGTTTGGATTCAAATATTGTTGAATGGGTAAGGCAGTGGCTGAGTGACAGGCAACAGAGGGTTGTAGTTAATGGAATATATTCGAAGCTTGGACTTGTCACCAGTGGGGTACCTCAGGGATCTGTACTTGGACCCATTCTCTTTAATATTTTTATTAGTGATATTGCAGAAGGTCTTGATGGTAAGGTATGTCTTTTTGCTGATGATACTAAAATATGTAACAGGGTTGATGTTCCAGGAGGGATAAGCCAAATGACAAATGATTTAGGTAAACTAGAAAAATGGTCAGAATTGTGGCAACTGATATTTAATGTGGATAAGTGCAAGATAATGCATCTTGGACGTAAAAACCCAAGGGCAGAGTACAGAATATTTGATAGAGTCCTAACCTCAACATATGAGGAAAGGGATTTAGGGGTGATTATTTCTGATGACTTAAAGGTAGGCAGACAATGTAATAGAGCAGCAGGAAATGCTAGCAGAATGCTTGGTTGTATAGGGAGAGGTATTAGCAGTAGAAAGAGGGAAGTGCTCATGCCATTGTACAGAACACTGGTGAGACCTCACTTGGAGTATTGTACACACTACTGGAGACCGTATCTTCAGAAGGATATTGATACCTTAGAGAGGGTTCAGAGAAGGGCTACTAAACTGGTTCATGGATTGCGGGATAAAACTTACCAGGAAAGGTTAAAGGATCTTAACATGTATAGCTTGGAGGAAAGACGAGACAGGGGGGATATGATAGAAACATTTAAATATATAAAGGGAATCAACACAGTAAAGGAGGAGACTATATTTAAAAGAAGAAAAACTACCACAACAAGAGGACATAGTCTTAAATTAGAGGGACAAAGGTTTAAAAATAATATCAGGAAGTATTACTTTACTGAGATGGTAGTGGATGCATGGAATAGCCTTCCAGCTGAAGTGGTAGAGGTTAACACAGTAAAGGAGTTTAAGCATGCGTGGGATAGGCATAAGGCTATCCTAACTATAAGATAAGGCTAGGGACTAATGAAAGTATTTAGAAAATTGGGCAGACTAGATGGGCCGAATGGTTCTTATCTGCCGTCACATTCTATGTTTCTATGTTTCTATGTTTCTATGACCACGGGGGCATATGCCTTTCCCCTATTCGCCATGATAGCAAGGACCATACACTACCTGAGACGACAACGAATATCCCTTCTTCTCATCACACCCCTATGGACAGGACAACCATGGTTTCCAGACCTCTTAGCCCTATCTAGCCGGGATCCCCTCCTGCTACCTTCACACCAATACACCCTCATGGATCCGAAAAGGAGCCCCCACCCATTGATCCTGGCCAACCGACTCAATCTGGTGGCTTGGACTCTTTCCGGGGTGCCTGGCAAGTCGGTGAACTATTGCAGGCTGCTAAGGACATCCTATGGGACTCATGGGCTCCAGGAACCAGAAGATCCTACCTGTCCACTTGTAATTCCTGGTCTGATTGGTGCATGGAACGGAACCTCGATCCATTTATGGCCTCTATTCTTCCATTTTAAACTATCTAACCCATCTATTCTCAACAGGACGATCTTACAGATCAATTAATGTGGTCCGTTCCGCTATCTCAGCGGCCCACGTCCCTATCGTTGGGACCCCAGTGGGTAAAGACCCACTGATATGTCGACTTCTCAGGGGCATTCGCCTGCAACGACCCCCTGAACCTAAATATTCACGACTCTGGGATGTCGAAATAGTCCTACGCTTCCTGAGGGAATGGCCGACCAACGACAGACTCTCACTTCGACAGCTCTCAGCAAAACTAACGTTCTGCTCTGCCTGGTGTCCTTCCGCAGGGTATCGGAAGTCCAGGCGTTTGACATAGATGCATTCTCGGTCTTCCCGGAGGGAGTCACATTCCACATATCTCGTAGCACGAAATCAGACTCTTCAACAGTTTTCTACCCCTTCTTCAACTCCGATCCACAACTCTGCGTCGTAGCCACTCTACGACGCCAAGTAGAAGTTACACTTCCAATTCGGACACCACCTTCGGGACAACTCCTCGTGTCATATGTTCGACCACACGTTCCTATCACTACCACTACACTCGCCAGATGGGTCCGCTGGATACTTTCACTCGCAGGCGTGGACGCTTCCTTCAGGGCCCACTCGGTACAAGGATCCTCACCTTTTGCAGCAGGTGCCTCATTGGCGGACATCCTGCGTTCCGCGGTCTGGTCGAGAGAATCCACGCTTCGCACTTTTTACTTTCGTCCGAACTCTAACGCGGCCTGTCACTCCTACTTCAGCGTTAAAAATGCAAAATAGGAAGCCTCCTGTCATGTGATAAAATTGAAGATTATGCTAGCGTTAGTGTACCTATAATCTTAATTTTAATAATGACAGGAGGCGAGTATTTTCCCTCCCTTTCCCTCCCGGGGAAGAGGAAACCGTTCATTCTATAGATTATAGGGTTTTTCTCTCATCCATATCTCATATCTGTCTCTACACTACTCCTTCATCGGTCAGGGACAGTATCTGTTATTAATTGATTCTATCATTTACGCATATGTTGCTAATATCATTGCTGGGTCACAATAATTGTAACAACCAGTAAGAGACCAGAGTCTAACCCATTTCACACTCTCATTTCAGTTTAACTTCATCAGCTTCTGGAGTTTCGGGAGCTATTTTGGCAAACTACCCAGACGACTATTCTCCATGAGGACCGCCTAATGTTGGACACTAACCCGTTGATGTTGGCTACAGTTTAATCGTTATACCACTGCTCATCCACCGTTGTACCTTCCAGAGGTCTTTGGATGAACTTCTCTATGTTACGATATTTAACTTTTTTCTCTGTTACGATGTCGCTTATGAAAGAGGAGGAGGAGCCTATTTTGTGGGAATACCATATAGGTACACTGACGCTAGAATAACAAAAAAAGAATATCTGCAACCAGTTCTAGCCAAGCTGCTGCTTGACCCTTTCTTGAAGCCTTGGCTCATGCTTGGGGGATGGGATAAATCTGCAGTGCTGATGGTGTCGGTTGGAGTGCTTGAAGTCCTCGGCAAGCACTAGGAACATCAATTGGCGGAGGTACTTGGTCGGAGTGCCAGTGGGTCCGTCACACTTTATATCTGTACTTCCTTTTACATCATGTTCTCCATGATCTTCACCCATACACAAGCAGAGAGGTGATACCTCTAAAAACAGGAAGAAATGTACATTGAGGGAAAAAGGTTTTGATCCCCTGTTGATTTTAAACGTTTGCCCACTGAAAAAGAAATGATCAGTCTATAATTTTAATGGTAGGTGTATTTTAACAGTGAGAGACAGAATAACAAAAAAATAAATCACAAAAAACGCATGTCAAAAAAGATATACATTTATTTGCATGTCAATGAGTGAAATAAGTATTTAGCCGCTTCCCGCATGCTGGGTCTGAAGAGAACGTCTCCGGCGGCCCCACGTGTTGTGTCCCACGGCAATTGCTCGGGACCCATCACCTAAGCCTTTTCCCTCTCTTCACATCGCCTACCTTCCCCATCGCCGGGTATCGCGGGAAAATAGCTTCCGGTGTCGCAGCCCGCGTGCGGCGAGGAGAGGGGTTGGAGGCCTGCCAAATGGGAGCGGCAGCTCCCGGTCTGCCTTAGGTAGCCTTCCCTGCACAGGAACACTCTGCGGTCGAGGGGTTTGGGTTAACTTTTTTTTTTTTTTTATGCCAGTGGGATTATGTGTATTATATTGGAATACACTGTGTCTAATGGAGCAGTCTGACTATTCTCAGCTGCTGCATATACATGAAGATTTATCAGAGTCAAATATGTTACATGGAACATACAGCTGCTAATTATTAACATCCCATGCTGTTATATACACAGAGAGATGTTATCCAATATAGTTAACCCTTCACTCCAGTTTGCGCAGCGGTGGTTGCTTTCCTTCATGTGTGACCGTCGTGGGGAGTTTCTGCATTTCGTCCGTCTGCTAGGATCTCCAGGGTCCTACTGCAGGTTTGCCATCAATGCGTATCTTTGGTATTGCTGGCTCCTCTAGGGCGGAGTCAGGCCTGGTTTCTGGGACTTCTGGTTCTAACCCATCAGGATCCACTCCTTCCACCATCTCCACTAATGCTCTTCTCGGACTTCCGGGGCGATCCTCAACCCCTTGTAGTGGATGGCCGCTCCCGCTTAGTGACCTGGACTCTGTCAGGGGAACCTGAACGGCATTATCGCAGTCTGCTGGACCCTTTCCAGGGCTCCTGGAACTAAGTGATGCTTCTGGTTAGCATGGAACTCCTGGTGTTGTTGGTGCTTTACGGGCCCTGTAACCAGTGTTCTGAACTTACTTCTTGCACCAGCGGGTTTGCAGATTTCTCAGAGGACGTACACACGGTCTTGTCATTTCTACAGGTTTGGCCTGATACTCAAGACTTTTTCCCTCCGTCAGTTTTGACTGATTTTGTTTTACTACTGTGCCTAGTTTCTTTCAGTCGAGTCGCCGGAGTCAAGACCTTCAATGTTGACGCTTTTCTTTCTACTGAGGGGGTCACCTTCGCAGTGTCTAGGCGTACTAGTCAGGTTTGACGGCTGTATTCTACCCGTATTTCTTTGCCTTTCCAGTTCTGTCCACTTACTGATCTCTTATGTTAGACCTCACACACTGGTCTTTTCTCCTAACCTGACACAATGGATTTTATGGTTGTTGTCATTGGCGAGTGTGAATTCGACCGTCGGAGTGCATTTGGTTAGGAGCGCGGCAGCTTCGGACTCCTTCCTCAAGGGCGATTCTCTCCGGGACATCCTGCAATCAATAGACTGGTCCAGGGGGGGATGCTTTCCGACATTTCTTTTTCAGACCGACGGATCATGTTTCCTTTGCTGTGCTGTCTGAGCATTAAAACAGCAACTATGAAGCCTCCTGTCATGTTATAAAATTGTAGATTATACTAGCTTTAGTGTAACTGTAATCTTAATTGTATTAATGACAGGAGGAAAATATTTCCCTCCCAGTTTCACCCTACCCTTGTTGATTTTGTTTGTTTTATTTGATCACCTCTAGTCGCTAGTTTGTTCTTCAGAACTAGGACTAGGTAGGTCAGTGGTTTTCCTTCCTGAGGGAAGTCGGGGTGAGACTTTATGGATATTGTACTGTCTGTAGTTGATTATGGGGTCTTCATGTTTTCACAATACATTTCGTTCACTAACTGGAGCTTTCGACTCTGTTTATCTTGTTTCAGTTTAATGGTTCGTCTACAGATCCACGTTCAAGACCTTCGTCTGGATAAAGTTTAATGGTTCATCCACGGATCCACTTTCGGGTTCTGGATGGAGGTCATCGGTTGATTTTGTTTGATTTGTTCTACTATTTCTAGATGTATATATTTGTTTCTGTTCCTTATTTTGTCGCAGCTTGAAAGAGGAAGTAGTTGGTTGGGAGGGGACCTTTATTGTTTCTTATTGGTTGTTTTTACTCTTTGTTAATGTGCTGCTGTGGAGCACTAGTAAAGAGAGACTTAAGCAAATATTTTCCTCCTGTCATTAATAAAATTAAGATTATGGTTACACTAAAGATAGTATAATCTACAATTTTAAAAAACATAAAATACTAGGGGGAAACAATAATTAGATCTCTGAGGTCCCCTCCACTTTTTCCCAAGTACCAGAGAAGTCTGTGACTCTCTAATTATAAATAATAACTCAACAGTATTATCCCTGATTATACTACATTGCACACTCTACACACTGGTAGAATCCGACTCCAACCTCTGCATGCTGGAAGCCTCAACAGATATATACAGTATCTCACAAAAGTGAGTACACCCCTCACATTTTTGTAAATATTTTATTATATCTTTTCATGTGTCAACACTGAAGAAATGACACTCTGCTACAATGTAAAGTAGTAAGTGTACAGCCTGTATAACAGTGTACATTTGCTGTCCCCTCAAAATAACTCAACGCACAGCCATTAATGTCTAAACCGTTGGCAACAAAAATGAGTACACCCCTAAGTGGAAATGTCCAAATTGGGCCCAATTAGCCATTTTCCCTCCCCGATGTCATGTGACTCGTTAGTGTTACAAGGTCTGAGGTGTGAATGGGGAGCAGGTGTGTTAAATTTGGTGTTATTGCACTCACACTCTCTCATACTGGTCACTGGAAGTTCAACGTGGAAAAGAACTCTCTGAGGACCTGGAAAAAGAAATTGTTGCTCTACATAAAGATGGCCTAGGCTATAAGAAGATTGCCAAGACCCTGAAACTGAGCTGCAGCACGGTGGGCAAGACCATTCCGTGGTTTCACCGAACAAGTTCTACTCAGAACAGGCCTCGCTATGTTCGACCAAAGAAGTTGAGTGCATGTGCTCAACGTCATATCCAGTGGTTTACAGGGTGGGGGGATCAGCCTGTCAGTGCTCAGACCATATGCCGCACACTGCATCAAATTAATCTGCATGGCTGTCGTCCTAGAAGGAAGCCTCTTCTAAGATGATGCACAAGAAACCCTGAAAAAGTTTGCTGAACACATTCAGAATAAGGACATGGATTACTGGAACCATGTCCTGTGGTTCGATGAGACCAAGATAAACTTATTTGGTTTATATGGTGTCAAGCGTGTGTGGCAGCAACCAGGTGAGGAGTACAATGACAAGTGTGTCTTACCTACAGTCAAGTGTGGTGGTGGGATTGTCATGGTCTGGGCCTGCATGAGTGCTTCTGGCACTGGGGAGCTACAGTTCATTGGGGGAACCATGAATGCCAACA